AATGTGTGATTTACGGTATGGAAACCCACACTTTACGAGTTCATATTCGCTTAAACAAAAAATATTAAAAAAGATGACAGTTCCATTAAACGTTGGGTTAGCAAAATGATTTTGATAAGTTGATATATATTGCAGAAATAAATTATGGTTTGGTTCAAGAAATTAAGAGTATGAAGAAGCAAAAGAATACAACACAAAATCTATAAAAACAATTTTTTTTACATAACCTTTCTATTCAAGACCCGATAGAGTGAAAAGTTTGGCTTTCGAATATTTTTTAAAATTTTTTTGAAAATACCTATTATATTCCACATAATTATGTTCACTTTCTTTTAAATATGTTGAACTAAAAACTCACGACCCACACAATTTGGTCTCCAAGTATCAGTAGTATTTTTATTCGATAAGTAGCGATGAAAAGTTATTTATATACATATATAAAACGTTTTGAGGATTCCTAAAATATATAAACCCGTAGATCCATGTAAGGAGCTATAGATATTTGTCGATATCGGAAACAACTCTATGTACAGCCCAAGTATTTGCTTCATGAATACTTAACTTATTTTTACCCCATTCACCATTAAAATATATTTTCTTTTACAGGACCTAAAATTTTAAATAAAAAAAAAAATTTTATATGAAATTGCATTTATTTTTCAAAATATTATTTAATATATGCAATGATTTTTATATTAAATACGTAATATTCTTGACATTTTACATTTTATATAAATTTTAATATATATAAATACAATGGCTATGGCTTTTAAATAAAAAAAAAAATTTTATATGAAATTGCATTTATTTTTCAAAATATTATTTAATATATGCAATGATTTTTATATTAAATACGTAATATTCTTGACATTTTACATTTTATATAAATTTTAATATATATAAATACAATGGCTAAGAGTATCTTGGATAATTACGTCCAGATTCGATAGTCTGTTTCCATTAAATCTCGCATCGCATCGAAGTGCATGAGTGAATGATGTTAGTTAAATGGTGTAGGTATATTTCACTGGGAATATACGTATTAAATTCTGTTTAAAGTTGGACAAACAAAAAATTCAGACTGACAACTGGAATATGGAAAAAGAGAACCTATCGAAATTCAACCGAATATTTGGACAAAAGGAAAACTACACTACACTTTAATGAACCACGAAATGATTAGAGAATTTACCAATATATATACAAAACGTTCTGTTTCCTGATTAAATGTGCTAAGATAGTCAGCCATTATATTAAATGATAGTTATGCTAAAAAAAAAGTGAATGTAAGTCAAAAGTAAAGTTAGAGTGCGAGACGGATATCCTAAAACCGAAAACCTAAATCAATTATCGCCTAATCCAAAAAAATATTATTCAGCAGTTCTTCGGAGATTATGTATCAAAATTTGATAAGTTCAAATAGTTTACCAAACGCCAGACAATTGGTTTCTGTTGCACGATTCTTCATTCTTATTGTCTAACTACTGCATTCACATGATTTGCTTTCATTCCACTTCTAGCTATTCACCAAACTTAAATTGAATATGAAAGGCAATCGTTTCAATACTGTCCCAATTATCCAAATGACCAACCCATTCCATTCCGGCTATTGCATACAAAAAATGTTTAAAAAATGCATAAAATATTTTCAGAAATGTGTTCGAATAAATATAAAATTAAAATTACAAATGCTTTGCTTTTGTTTTAGGTCTAATCTTTTAGGATCTGGGATAGACTGTATATCTATACTCATCAACAATTCGAAGTTTTTTTTTCACAAATATCCAGAAAAGCTTAATTTCATGTTGTGAAGAAAACATAAAATATTTAATTAACATACGAGTGTATGTAGCATTATTGAAGTGAAAATAATTCAACAAATTATGTTATTCCTTTAATTAAATTATATAAAATAAAATAATGTATTTATCTACCATAATTTCAGTAATTATTTTTCCATTTAAATATTTTATTTCTTCTAATAAAAAATAAAATAAATCAACGTTTAATTAATAATTAATGACATTCGTCTACATTGAGATTTTTCCCAAACACTTTGCATTTCCCATGTGAATGTGGAAAAATATTTTCAATATGGAAATTTACAAAATTTTACTAAAATATAAATATTTTTCTGTACTTTATGTTTAATTGTAATTAATTCTCATATAATTAAATTATAATTATTTTTTGCATATAAATGCACTCATTTAATATACTCAAATGATATGTGGTTCTTCAAATAAATACTAAAAAATTTAATAAAATATATTTTTAATTGTCTTTCACAACAACAACAACACTCAACAATATGCAGTAATTATTAATTAAAAATTAAATTAGATTAAAGTTTGTAATATGTAACGAAGCTCATAAATACGAAATTAAATAAAATGTAATTAATTTTTTAAATAAAAATAAACAATAATAGCTTCATTTTTGTTTTACATATCATCATTATGAACTCATTACTCTTAATTATTTTGAATTATAATTAAGGACTCTTACAGTTACGAAATACGAAATTAAATAAAATGTAATCAATTTTTTAAATAAAAATAAACAATAATTGCTTCATTTTTGTTTTACATATCATCATTATGAGCTCATTACTCTTAATTATTGTGAATTATAATTAAGGACTCTTACAATTATTTTTTTAGCAGACTCTGTTACCTATTGGATTCATTAAATTTGCAAGTTCTCTACGATTTGTGGCATTTCCGGTGTTTCAAACAATTTAATTGCTTTACAACACTGTTGACATCAAAAACATTTACAAAGCGATAGAAGTTACGCCTTCGAAGTAAAAAAGCATATAAAATCAAACAAATTTCAAAAAAAGAAAAAAAAAATAAAATATATAAAATGAAATTAAATTAAATTATAGGAAGAAAATAAAAGTAGAGTTAAACGTTCCTGCAACTGTAACAGGAAATTGCTTGTTAAAAGTGCGATGGTTTTATTGTGTATGTATGTGTGTCTCTGTACAGTTCCCAGTAGATTTTATGTACGTCTGACTATGGGTGTGCCTTAATCTATATTTGCATTAGACACGTTTGAGTGTGTATGTGTGTGTGTGTGTGTGTGTGTGCTTCATGCTTACAAGTGGAAGTGTATGAAGTAATATGCATGCACCTAAATTAGAAAAACAAATGAAAAATGAAGTAAAAAGTATAGAGAAAATTTAATTATTTCCGCTATTTAGAAATCTAAATGCCCTGAAATGTTAAAGTACATATATTAATTAAATTTCATTGACTTGGATTATTGCAAAACTTCTACAATGTTTCGTATATGTTCCATTACATCTTAACATAATTAAGTTATTTCATTTTTGCGATGAATAAATTTTAATATATGAGGGCAGATATGGAATTTAATAGAGTTTAATATGGTTTTTGTAGTTTTAAAGATATGTTTTACAACACAATTTAATGTCTTCTTGTAGAATTATAATTTTTCTTACACAAATGTCTATTGATTTAATATAATACCGACATTCAATTTTCAATGGAAGCCTAAAGCGCTATTATATTACATAGTACACTAAATTAAAGAAGCTACATTGTGTGATTATCCTATTCTGTAACAAAAAAATTGGTAAAAAAACACATGGAACACTAATTCGAATCTATAAACAACAAAATCTCTACCAAATTACCACGAACTTTTGCACTACTATATCTTTCTATTCTATTCTACAACACTGTAACAGTCATACGTCTGATATTAACTTGCAATAAAGTTAGGACTAAAATTATTTAGAAATGTAGATGGCCTTTGAAAGCACTAAGACTGTAACATTTATTTAAATATTTTTTAAACAGTTTGTGAACAATACGTTAATAAGTTTGGAGATGCATTAAATTATATTAAACATTGCATAGTAACCAGACTTACAAAAAAAGGCACAGTATTTCATCACTCAATCGGCAGAGTAAGAGACCGACTGTTTTCCATATGAAATCAATATTCGATTGGGATTGTATAGT